ATAGCCCATTTAGCTATACTATGACCTATAATATTTTGCTCACGACTAACGTGACAGCATAATCCACAATTCAACGACGACAAAAGACAAACAATATCAGCAAAAACATTATACAAAGGATCGTTAGGATGATTGTTCAAGATGCCAGAAATAGTAGAAATGGCGTCTGTTTTGGCCGTTTGAATCATAAACCCTGCTTCCAAAGCAAAACTCAATCCAAATCTGAGAGCAAAAGCTTCCGCTGATTCCGACGAAAAAGACCCCGCCTGATGAGAAGCAAAGGCGGCCCAACACAGACCATCCGAATCACAAATCCACCCACCCACGCCAATTGAATTATCATTTACCGCCGCATCACAAAAAATGGAGAAACCATTTAAACACGTACCAGGGCCATGCCAAGAAGGGGTCGGAGACGGAGTGAGTGTTTGCTGAATACTCGAAGAACATGGAGACATAGTGTTTGTGTCTTCCAGCCAATCATTACCGAGCGCCCATATGTGATCCACACTCCTTGCCGGCTTGCCATGTTGAATACGGTTCCTCTCGTTCCAAATAATCCACAGGAATGTTACAAAGCCCGAGATTTCATTACTCCGATCCCCATCCAGAATTTCACTAAGGATCGAGATGAAGCTATGACCTCGTAATTTTACCAGAAGATCCCACCAACCTGCCATTTTCCACAATCGTTTAACCCATTTGCAATCAAAGAAAATGTGGATATTAGATTCCAATCCACCACATCTGGGACATTTTGTTTCCAGCATAATTGATCTTCGAGCCAAATTTTCGGAAGAGGGGATGGCCATATGACACAATCTCCACAGAAAAACTTTGATTTTTGGTACAACTTTAATTTTCCACAGTGATTTCCACCATTGGGATTTTTTGCTAGAGCACGACTCCTGTTGTTCTCCAGACAATGATTTAAGCAAGTGATAAGCAGTCTTCACAGAATATGACCCATTTCTAGAGTTGTGCCAAATGGTCCGATCTGGTAAGCGGTTATTGCTCAAAGGAATAGAGAGAATCTTCTGAGCGTCAATTGGTAGAAAAATACCATTAATCAAATTCTCATTCCAGGCTCCGCTCACCCCGATGAGATCTTTTACTCGGTTAATTCTGAGTACCGGATGAGAAAAAGGTCGAAAAAATCGAAAGTGGGGTATCCAGGGGTCCGAGTAAATATTGATTGACGCCCCGTCACCCACTCTCCATCTCAATCCTGCTTTGACTGCCTCACGACCCCACAGAATACTTTTCCATAAAAAGGAAGATCCCGCTCGATCCTTAGCCTCCAAGAAATTATTAGATGGAAAATATTTTGCTTTGAGAACTCAGTCACAAGAGAATCTGGAGATAAAATTATCCTCCACGACTGTTTTACCAGCATTGCTTGATTAAACAACACCAAATCTCTGAAGCCCAAACCTCCATCCTGCTTTGACAATGTCATTCTGCTCCATTTCACCCAAGATATCTTTCGCTCACCATTACGTGATCCCCACCAAAATTGAGCAACAATTTGTCTAATTTGGTTACAAATTGAAATAGGTAACCTGAATAGACTCATAAAATACGTTGGGATAGCTTGCACCACAGCTTTAATAAGAATTTCGCGCCCCACAGATGAGAACAAATTGCGATTCCATGTATGAAGGCGCTTCCAGATCTTTTCTCGAATCAAGGCAAAAGATTGTTTTTTATCCCTACCAAACATCGAAGGTAATCCCAAGTATTTCCAATGGAAGCTGGTGAATGAATTCAAAAAATCGACCAAATATTCTGGCGAAGAGCTTGAGGTGTATTTGGACTGAAAGAGATAGCAGTTTTCTTCAGATTTATTTGTTGTCCAGAAGCGCTTTCATAGATGTTTAGTATGTTGACAATTGAAGCAGCCTCCACTGAATTTGCCTTTGAGAAAACAATGGAGTCGTCTGCAAATAGAAGATGGGATATTGGTGGACCGTTCCTGCTACATTTCAACCCCTTCAAATTTGCATCTATCTCTGCTCTTTTCAAAGTAGCCGAGAGCCCCTCCGCACAGAGGATAAACAAATACGGAGATAAAGAACACCCCTGACGTAACCCACGCGACGGTGTAACTCTTCCAACAATCTGTCCGTTGATTTTAAAAGAAAAGTTAACAGAGGAAATGCAGTTCCTAATTATCTGTCGAAAACGAACAGGGAAGCCCTTCTTACACAGCATTGCATCAACAAAATCCCACTCCACTCGATCGTAAGCTTTACTCATATCAAGTTTAAGAGCCATCGAGTGAGCATTCCCATGATGTTTTTTCGACATTCAGTGAAGCAATTCAAAGGCCAAAATCGCATTATCCGTGATGAGCCTGTTAGGAACAAAGGCACTTTGGTTGGCCGATATCAACGGATCTAAGACCACTTTCAATCTTGAGGCAATGGCTTTAGAAATTATTTTATAAAGCACCGTACACAAACTGATAGGGCGATAATCAATCACCCGAACCGGATTCTTCTTCTTCGGGATCAAGGCAATTACTGTATCATTAAGGCCCTGCATGGAGTAGCCATTATTGAGAATGTTGAGACACACAGATGTTACATCATTCTTAATAAGCTCCCAGTACTTCTGATAAAATATAGCGTGGAATCCGTCGGCCCCAGGGGCCTTATAAGGATCGATACTCATAAGGGCATCTAGGACATCTTTTTCTGTAAATGGTGCATCGAGTAAGCAAGCTTCGTCAGAAGAAATACCACAACCCACATTTTCAGTGATAAGCCGAATTTTCTCTTCAGTCGGGCGTCTGCTAGAGAAAAGGTGGTGGAAGAAAGTGGTCACCTGCCGAACAATTTCTTCCTCATTGGTAAGCCAGGCTCCTTGGTCGTTTTGAATTCTGTCGATTCGGTTCCGACGAAACCTTTCCTTTGCTCTATTATGAAAGAACCTCGTATTGCGATCCCCCTCTTTAAGCCAATCAACTCGTGCTCGTTGTTTCCAAAATATCTCTTCCCGGGCTAATAGTTGATGCACTTCCTGCTCCAATATATGAATGTCTTCCATGAGATTTTCTGAATTTGGAGAGTCATATAGTTCTTGAAGACGCTTCTCATTTTCCCGCAGTTTTTTCCTCCAGCCAACAAAATTTTGCTTACTCCATTCTTTCAACTTTTTACTGCAAGCTGTTAACTTCCTGATAAAGTAGCTGGGGGTGTCCCTATTACTCTCGAGGGCATGCTCCTCCTCCCAGCCTTCCCGAACCACCGCACAAAGAGATTTCTCTCGAAGCCAGAAAGGTTCAAATCTGAAAGGGCGAATTTTCTGAGGTCCCTGGAATTTGAGGTGGTTGTCATGATGTAGGATGATAGGACGATGGTCAGAGAACTGAAAGGGAAGATGTTCGATCCAAGCTTCCGGAAATTCATTTTGCCACTCTTCAGTAGCCACAAATCTATCCAATCGAGCTTGGATATTTTCAGTACCTTTTCGCTTATTATTCCATGTAAACCGACGACCCTGAAAATGAAAGTTGAGTAGATTACAATGATTAAGAGTCATTTGGAAGTCCCTGGAAGTAGCTTGATTTCGGAAAGAACCTCCTTTTTGCTCTGATAGGAGGATGGTTTCACTAAAATCCCCGCCGCATAGCCATGGTAAGTTTGATAAAGGTTGCAGACGTTTGATTAATTCCCACGTATGATGACGATTTTCCATTCGAGGTTGACCATATACTCCTGTAAATCTCCAGCACTTGTTGTTGTGATCTTTGATATGCGCATGAATGTGAGCCGCCGAATAAGATATGATTTCAACCTCCCAATTATCAGACCACAAGAGCATTAACCCACCACTTTTGCCTTGGCAATCCACCACAAAGTTGCCTCCGAAATTTAATAGATACCGAATATTAGCTGCCTTAGCACCAAATAATCTAGTCTCAGACAGAAAGACTAGATCAGGGGAAACTTTACCGACCAAAGCCTGTAAAGATTTAACCGTGCAAGGATTCCCCAAACCTTGCACGTTCCAGCAAAGGCAACTCATTGAGTTCGGCGACTCTGCTGAGCAGAGTCCGCCGTTTCTAGAGTAGGAGAGTCAGTGTCCTGCAACACCATATCATCATCCTGTTTTTGACGCTTACTAGGTTCAATTCCCATTAATGACATTGGGCTTATCTTCCTTTTTTTGATGTGTCCCTGTCAAAGTGCTGAGATCAATCCCGGTTTTTTCTAGATGAGGTATTGGCTCCCCTTCTTTTACCTTTCCTTCTCGGGTTGAATATGGCGTGCCCGTCTTCCTTTTCCACCCTTTCTGTGAGCCACCATGCAGACGCATAGTTGATGTAGAAAATACCTGTGACGTTGGACTTTCTGATAGCACCATTTTATCTTTATGACTATCAACTTCTACTGTGTGAATATTTGGATTTTTCCCAGAGGGAGGTGAATGTTTATCCTGTACCTGCATATTATGGCCCGACTCTGAAGAATTATCTTCCACCTGATTATTGACTGGCTGAGTTACCCCGTTACCTCTCTCTCTTTTACTGACACTATGTTCACTGGAATGTTGAGGGCTATTTGTGTTTGTCGTTGAGGAAATCGGGCGCCCATTTTGCCTTCGCTGATGGAAGGAAGAAGCTCTTAGCCAATCCCCAAATTTCCGACTGGAATCTTGTGGAGAGATTTCTGTTCGCGACGGGCAATCACACAGCTTATGGCCAATTAGCCCGCAATTAAAGCAGAAATCTGGGATTTCTCATACTGAATTGGGATCATAAACTCCTCCCCCTTCGCCTCTAGAAAAACCCTTAGCCCACGACAAAGTGGCTTCAGGATATTAATGTTTACTCGAACCCGCGGTGTGATACCATCAATGTCGACCGCTATAACTTCACCCAAATGTTGCCAACCGTATGAACACAAGATTCCGTGTGACATACCAGTGGTAGATTAAGAAGATGAATCCAGAACGGAATAACATTAAAATCGATGGCGCTAATATCACCAGCCCCTACAGGTCTAGCCAGAGAAATCACTTGTTTGTTAAACAACCATGGCCCCCCATTCAGCACCATTTTCATATCCTCAACTGAGCCAAACTGGAATAAGAAGATGTTATTTATCCCTTTCGGCTCAATCTGAAAAGAGTACCTCGTCTTCCAGATAAATCGAAAGACAGACTCTAGTCCCTCTTTATTTGTATTTCTGTTCCCGATTACCTTTCCGACGAGGCAGGTGGCTAATTTAGCAAAGCCAGCTTCCGATTCACTCTCCGTCATCGGTACGACACTCTCTTCCAAATCTAGCCTGAGCTGTTCGCATAATTTAGTAATTTCTTCTGGATCCATTGTCGAGTTCCCAGAGCAAGTGGAGAATGGATTAATCAAAATAGGGAATATCTGAGATTAATTGACTAAATAGAAAAACGAAAAAGCAAGCCCAAAAAAATTGGGAAAATAACCGGACCTGGCCGGAAAAATCAGACTAAGGCTGAAAAAACCCAAATCTCTATTCGAAGAGAGAGAAAGGGAGTCTCAACAAAGAGAGTTTTTACTCATATAATTTTAACTAATCATAACTTCATATCATCTATCTCACACTCTTATATCAAATTAACTTTAATTATTTTATTTTAATATAAACTAAAAATTCTGTTAACAACTAATCATACCAACTTTTTCAAAATTAGTCGTAGTTAACCAAAAAAAACTCATTTTGAGTTGATATATTTGTTACAAACATGCTATAAAGTGTCAAATTGACTTCCAAAAAGTGAATAAAAATTACAACACAAATGGCAATTCCAATGTACATTCC